GGACGTTCAGAGCACCGACCTCGTCGGCAATGGAGGAAGGCGAAGCTTTCTTGGACTTCTTGGCGGGTTGCATGCCGGCCTTAGTCAGCTTCTTCTGGGAATCGTCCGCCGGCCGCTTTTTCTTCGGCGGGGGAGGTGGCTTCTTCGGCACATCACCACTTGCAGCCACCTTCGCCGCGGCCTCCTTGGTGGCCAGCTCCGCCTTCGCCTTCGCGGTGGCCTTATTCATCACTGACCGGCGATCCATCACAAAGTCTACACAACAAAGAGAAATAAGTTAGCAAAGTAAAAGAACAAAATGAAACAAGGACGTCGTAGGGAGTATTACCATCAGCTTCGGCATGGACGCCCAGATCGGGGCCGTCGGCCTCCTCGAAAGTAGTGGTCATCTGCGGCCACAGTTGGACGTCATCCTCCTTGTCACCATACACGAAGTATCTAAAGAAGCCGATAGCGGTCATCTTGTACTCCGTGATGTAATCCTTCACGCTCCTCCCCCCCCCCCCCCCTCAAGGAACGCCTCCATCTGAGCATCTAGGATCGAACTCTTCGGCGGGTCATGAAGATTGAACCTCCCATCATGGCCAACGGAGGGGAATTCAGTGCCACCCTCGCCTAGGGACAGGAAGACAAATTTGCTCTTCCAACCATGTATGGATGAAGGCAAGTCCGTGAAAGTCCTCTTCTTCGGCAGCTGCTGCAGAGTGGCGTAGCAGGCGCAATTTTTATGGCTCCCTCGGCCAATCTGATAAAGGTTCATGAATAGGGCCGTCGTCGGCTTGTAACCCAATTCAGCACAGCGGAGGAGGAACCCCACCATCAACGAGTAGCTGTTTGGGGTCAACAAGGCCGGAGGGAGTCCCACCATGTCCAAGTAATCCTTGATGAAGGGGTGAAGGGGAAACCTTAGCCCCTTGGCGAAGCTCATCGCATACACTCCGAAGTATCCCGGCGGCGGATTGAGCACGTGGTCCGTCGGCCTAGGCGCCCTAACCCTCCCAAACGGCCCCACTTACATCTGTGCGACCAAGTAATCAGCAGCTCTACTCTCCGGCTTGATCAGCAGCTCTGGGCCCTTCTTCGACCGCCTGTTCCTTTTCGGTCGCGATACCCCCTTCACAGCAGACACCGGCTTCGGGCACAGAATGGTAGTAGAGGCAGACGCCCCGTCCATTATGCGGGAGACCCCTGCATCCTCACCCTCAGATGACGAGGCGGACCCTTCGTCCTCACCCTCCTCGTCCACATTATCTCCAGACTTATACGGGCTCAAGTGTTCAATCTCCTCGGCACACTCTTCGATCACGTCGTAGTCAAGAGACTTGGCGGAGGGCTCGTCGTCATACGGGTAATACTCCTCATTCAGGGTTTTCATCTTAACAACTCCTAAGGCACTAAGGGGATCTACTTTAGATCTAAGGTGTTTTTGTGACTAACATTGGATCAAAGCCTAGAGGGAGCAAAATATGTAAGAGATCGAAGAAAAGATTAAGGAACTGACCTTGAAGTTTTGAAGGAGGTGAAGAACACTCGCAAAAGGCTTTATCTCTCTAGAATTTTGGGCAGCACTTCGTTTGCTCAGGATGCAAATGAAGGCTTCCTATGGAATGGGAAGGGTATTTATAGCCCCCCTCCCAACGGTAACTACACGTGGCATCACCCTAGTGGCCACAACAACGGCCACCAATGGGATGCCACCACTTTGTCAATGGGCCAAGCCCCCTCCACAGATCAGCGGCCCATCAGCAAAGCAGGCTCTACGGAGCAAGGAAGGGAAAATAGCACCCACAACGGCCAACATAGTCAACGGTTACCCACGTTGCACCCGTATCGGCCATTTAAGCGGCCATGCATATTATGTAAAGAAAGGCCTTACAACGGCCACAACACCCCAAGGGAAAGGAACCCAACGGCCATTAGGCCCTCACACTAAACCCTTGATGATAACCCTTTGAAAGCGACCTGCGTCCAAGGGTTCTCCCACAGGGTTACCTTGGTCAGGAAATCGCCAAAGGGTTGGATCCAATGGCAGTTTGAGGATCCCGCTTCGGCCTAGTTTTCAAGCTACTCCTTCACCCCTCACTCACTCTTCGACCAGAAGCAGTGGGGGACTGGGGGACTACACCGGCCTCAAGAATGGCAAGCAAAATGAGAAACAAAAATGCACAAAGTACACAATTGCGACTACAAGCGTGGCCACATCGTCCATGTACCACAACGGTTCCAAGGTCCTCATAACTCCATCTCCGGCCAGACAATGTTATCGTTCCCAAAACCTTGGGCAATATGGCGCCTTGTCTCCCAAAGGCACATGGTGTCATCAACAACGGCCAAAAGAAGTGCACAACACCCTCACCGGCCATCCAAAACAATGGACGCTCGTCGTCCTCAAAACAAGACGCAACCCCAACGGCCTCATCAGCCCAAAAGGAAAGTCCAACCATCAACGATCAAGAAAGGATAGACACTACCTTCATCGTCCAATCATGCCAGAACACTCATCGTCCACAAACAAGCGCACCAAAGGAATAACAGCCTTCCCCGTCCACATCAAGGGGTAGGTAACGGCCAAACTCAGAACAGAGCCACCAACGCCACGACAGAGAACGACCAACGTGGTGCCACATCAGCCAAGAGCATCAAACACAGAAATCTACTCTCCTTCACTTCGTCTACATCTCAGCTTAGAGAGTGGGGGACTCCTGATGGAGTATATGGGTCTAGGCCCCAGGACCCACATACTCAGAAGAACAAGAAAGTACAAGCCGTCAAGTGGTGCCCTCGTCGGCCAAAGGACCCTTGTCGGCCGAAGAAGGACCAACTCAGAATATGATCCTGAAGCTAGGGAACTTGGGTGCCCCCGTCGGTCGTGCCCTCGTCGGTCATGCCCTCATCGGCCGTGCCCTCGTCGGCCACGGAAGCCTCATAGAACTAGATTTTACACTTAATCATTTCTACACACATTGTATTCGACCCAATAGCGGTCCAGTTGTAAATGGGCCTCCCAAGCCCAAGGCTTGGGAGCCCAGCCCGTATTTTCCCTATAAATACTTCCTCTGGAGGTAGTTGTAGGGGTTCACAAAATCATCTATTGAAGCATTTACTTGCACTTCTCTCTCTAGCTCTCACTTCTCTCTAGATATATACTCTATCATTATACATACATAATACTACTATCCATAACACTGTGAGTATAAAAAGCACACATATTTTTACAGTCAGTGGCCAGAGTGAGGTGGGGTGTCGGGGAGTCAGTGGCGGCTGGAATGCGGTGGGGGCAGTGGCAGATGGAGAGAGACGAATAAGACGAAGCACAAATCTCATGGAATGCGGTGGGGGCAGCGGCAGATGGAGAGAGACGAATAAGACGATGCACAAATCTCAAATGCATGCTATGGGGCTGGAGTGCGATGGAGTGAGTAGCTAGGGTTTATCCGTTGTTTATATATGGTCACTTTTTTGTACTAAAATAGACGAGTCACATTTTTGTCTAGTAAAACCATAGAGGTAATATATAGGTCATTTTTTCATTATTTTATCATTACAAGATGTTTTTACTTGTATCTAAAGCAATTGGGAAAAGGGGTAAATAAGCCCTCGAACTAACCGAAAAAGTGCAAATCACTTTTTTTATAGGATACCATGTCCGGTCATCGCCATTTGATGCGGTTCCCAATGGAATTTTTTGATGAAATTTTGTGAGCATCTTCTTCATTAAGTCTAGTTTACACATACCAAATTTCAGCTAAAAGTTCAATCGTAAAGGTAGTCACATAAATGTTTGAAGATAACTGCGCAGTTAAACAACGTAGTATATTTCCGAAAATCATTTGACTGCCTTCCAGGTTGAAGTTTTACCTGAAATTTGGTATAGGTAAACTAGACTTAATGAAGAAGATGCTCAAAAAACTTCATCAAAAAGTTCCACCGTGAACCACCCCAAATGGCTACGGCCAGAGAGAGTCTCCTATAAAAGTGATGATTTACACTTTTTCTGTTAGTTCGAGAGCTTATTTGCACATTTTCCCAAAGCAGTTCCCTAAATTCCGTAGTGAAAAACATTATGAAAAATGCCATAGGTACCCTATTTTAGGGTACCCCATTTGTACTCACCCCTATTGTGTGGCTTAAATGGAACAATTTATTGAAGTGAGGCAACTCATTTAAATGTTGGATTCATTTGACCATACAAAGGGTGTGACACAAAGGGTATCCAAAATGGGTACACCAAAAAGGCTCAAACCTTGTAGTCTGACCATCCAAGCGCACGACCAAGCACAAAGAACAGTGGAGGATGAGACGTCAATCTCACTGTTGACGTATTCATTGTTGATGAAAAACATACTCCGCAAGTAATTCTACCAAAATGGTGGAAAAACCAACCACATACGGAGTAGTTAATTGGGAACTTCTGTCAATAGAGCAAACACTAACATTGACCATGCAATGATGTAAAACCGCTATAACAAGCTACGAACCTAGCGACAAAACAACCTCTAACTCACCCTTCTAAACATTTGTAAGGAGAAGCTAGAAACAATGGACGGTCTAGCTTGCACCTCTCGACTTTCACGACTCCAAAATTAAGTTTTACTTCTCTTATTTGGATCTCTTAAAATAAATTCTCATTTTGAGAAAAGCATCACAACTAATATTACGTATCTCAATTTAAAAATTCAAAAAAAAAATCAGTTTATAAATTCAAAAAAATTACCCTTATCTCATTTTTTGAAGCAACCCTTATCTCAATTTAGAAATTCAAAAAAAAAACTTTGACACATGTAGATCAAACCGGAATTTATATGCGAATTTTGGGAGTCCTATGAAATGGGAATCACCTTCATTTTAATTAAAACTCTGTACATAAATAAAAATAATCAGTCAATTTTCCGAATTTGGTGTGTGCTTTTTGAGGAGAAGGGGAAACTAAACCGACACATATGGAGTAGCAGACAGTATATATCTAAATCAAGCCAAGGAATAAACTAGAAACAAAGAATCATCAATGTGACTTTACTTTACTTGGGTATTATTATTGCTTAAAATATAAATAATGCAGAAAAGGATCACAAGATAAAAAGAGAAAGTGCGGCTACTGCTGACAATAATGCTTGACTCTACCATTCACAGATCTTGCAGCTCAAACAAGTTTCTTCCTTTATACCCTCTTTCTTTTCTCCCCTCAGATTTTTTTGGAACAAATCCCCGGGGGAGATGAATCTGGAAGAAGGAATTGCCAGAAGCTGCAGAATTAAACAATGAGAGCTTATGCCCGAACCATCTTCTCTGAGTACTTGATTCTGTCCGTTCTTGTCGCGTTTTTCACCGCCGGCGCGGAGACCCGCCGAAATCAAGATTTCATTGCCCGGAAAATTCTGCATCAGCCTCTGTTTCTCGTCGGCCCAGATTCACCGGTTGATTCCGATTTCTTCCAGCCACCGCCGGTCTTGCCTCCCGCTGACCCCATAATCCCTAGCCCAGACCAGCCTTTCTTCCCGGAAGTTCCCAGCGTCCCGGCGTCGGATCAGCAGACACCGCCGCCGCCGGCCCAGCAAAATGAGTCGCCGGTGGCAAACCCAATCGCGCCGCAGCCTTCAAAGCCAGTCAAGAAGGTGGCGATTGCGTTGTCGGTTGGGGTTGTCACCTTGGGGATGCTGTCGGGAATCGTGGTCCTCTTCTGCAAGCACCGGCGTAAACACCTCGCCGTGTCTCAAAAGCTTGTCGGCGGCAGTGTTCCTTCCCGGAGGGTCAATGAGGAACCAGCGGTGCCGCCTTCCACTTTTCTGTACATCGGAACAGTTGAGCCATCACGTCGGTCGTCGGTGGCGAGTGAGTCCAACGGGTCACCTTACCGGAAATTAAGATCCGAACGGTATAGGCCGAGTCCGGACCTTCAGCCGCTGCCGCCGCTGAGCAAACCGCAGCCGCCTCCCGACATAACTTCTCCTCCGGCAATGTCATCATCCGACGAAGAAAGTCGAGGCACCGCTTTTTACACGCCGCAAGGCTCCGTCGTTGGCAACGACGACGGGTATTACACGCCGGTTTCGCGGCGGAACCCGGCAAGAGTTAATAGTTATGTCCCCTACTCGAAGAGAACATCATCCAAATCACGCCTCTCTGCTTCTTCATCCGAGGCAAAACCTGCAATACCGCCGCCGGTTAGGCATTCTGCGGCTCCGCCACAGCCACTTCCGCCGGAGCCTCATCTCCGTTATGACAGACCGCCGGTGGCGAAGCCGTACATTCCCAAAAGAGTTAAGTTCTCACAGCCACCTCCTCCGCCGGACATGTCTCGGCTTCAATTGATAAGTGGACAACCTGAGCAAAAACCCAAACCAGAAGTCCCACCCCCGCCTCCTCCGCCGCCACCGCCTCCGCCTCCGCCTCCGCCACCGCCTCCTCCTCCTCCGCCGCCGGTGACAAGAATACCCGGAATTCCACAGAAGAAGAATTCCCCGTCGATTGAAATAGGAAAAAAAGAACCAAGGAGTTCAAGCCCAAAAACACCACAAGAGAGTGAGAAGAAGAAGAGCCCTTCAATAGAACCCGGTTCAGAGGAGAGGTCTGATTCAGATGAGATAGATGGATCAAAACCAAAGCTGAAACCTCTGCACTGGGACAAAGTGCGTACGACGTCGGATCGTGCCACCGTCTGGGACCACCTCAAGTCCAGCTCCTTCCAGTAAGTACCAGATGCCGTCCCTGTTGCTTAAGTATTAAGTTTATGGCACACTTTTTAGTATGTGGCTGGGTCCGTTGGATATATTTGTATTTTTAGTTAAACTTTATTGAACTTTACTGATAAAAATTAAACGCACTACATTTTATTAAAAGTTTTATTGAATTGAACAAAGTATGTGTGAATATGGAATAAAACTAATTTGATTGTATAAATAGCAATAAATGCAAAATTTATAATTCTGTTGCTTGTATGTGTACATTCATTCAGATTGAATGAGGACATGATGGAGTCACTCTTTGGGACTAGTTCTGGAAAATCAGCAGTAGACGAAACTGCTAAGAAACTCAAACCCGCAATCCGTCATCCCGCCGAGCCGGACGACAAAGTTCTTGACCCGAAGAAGTCACAGAACATAGCAATTCTTTTGAGAGCATTGAATGTAACAAAGGAAGAGGTTACCGAAGCACTCCTAGATGGTCTGCTGCACTTTGATTTCAAATTATTGCCTTTCATATCATTTCATTTCTTATAGTGTTTACTTTCATTTCGTCACAGGGAACCCGGAAGGATTGGGTCCTGAGCTTTTGGAGACTTTGGTGAAGATGGCTCCAACGAGGGATGAAGAGAAAAAATTAAGAGATCGCAAGGGTGACATCTCAAAATTGGGACCCGCGGAACGATTCCTCATGGCTGTTCTTGATGTGCCATTTGCCTTCAAAAGAGTGGAAGCAATGTTATACAGAGCAAATTTCGATTCAGAAGTAACCTACTTGAGGAAGTCATTCCAAACTCTTGAGGTAAATATATACCCCTATTAGCTTCCAAATCTTTAGTCTTAAGACATCTTACACTGCCCATATAAAAAATGAAAATTGAACTTCTAAGACATAACTTAAGCCTTGTATGAGCGCTTATTATTCTTAAACGAGCAACCGATCAACATTTTGTCATTGTATAACGAGTCATGTGTAGAGTTTCAACAACTCTATTAGATTGACCTTTTAATATGGGATTCCAAGTCTCACGAGTTTTGAGTTTTAATACATTGTTAAACTCTTAAGGGTCACTAGCCCAAAGTTCATATTATAGGTTTATATTTCTTATTTGAAATGGAGTTTATGTTTGGTTTTATCAGGAAGCAAGCGAGGAGTTGAAGAACAGCCGGCTATTCTTCAAATTATTACAAGCTGTGTTAAAAGCGGGAAACCGAATGAACACTGGCACTAACCGCGGTGATGCGAGGGCTTTCAAACTTGAAACACTTCTAAAACTTGTAGATGTAAAAGGGACGGATGGGAAGACGACATTGCTCCACTTTGTCGTCCAAGAGATAATCAGATCAGAAGGAGCTGCTTCCAACCAAACCAGTGAAAAAGCAATCATTAAGCCAAAGGACGAAGGCCTCAAGAGGCAAGAACTACAAGTTGTAGCAGGGTTGAGCCGGGAGCTCGACAATGTCAAGAAAGCAGCAGGAATGGACTCAGATGTCCTACATGGCTATGTCTCCAAGCTTGAAACCGGGCTAAGGAAGGTCCATTTGGTGGTGGAGTACGAGAAACCGGGTATGCAAGGGAATTTTTTCGAGTCGATGAAAATGTTTCTAAAAGTGGCAGAAGACGAAATAAAGAGGATTAATGAGGAAGAGAGGAAGGTGTTATTGATAGTGAAAGAAGTGACAGAGTATTTTCACGGAGATGCGGCAAAAGAGGGCGCACATCCCTTCAGAATCTTCATGATAGTAAGAGATTTCCTGTCCATATTGGATAGTGTCTGCAAAGATGTTGGGAGGATGCATGAAAGAACAGGTGCTGATTCATCGAGATCATTCAGAATACCAGCAACCTCTTCTTTGCCGGTGTTGAGCAGATATAACGCCAAACATAACAGAAGCTCAAGCTTTGATAGTGTCTCATCATGATTCATATAGATCTTTCTTTCCGATCAACACCTCATTCTTTGGCTGTAAAATAAAATACATCTCGTTGGAGCGTAAAGAATGGGTATTAGCATTGGCGTCAAGACAGGCTTGGGCTATTCAGGATGAAAAGACAATCAGACAAACATAGGAAGATTTAGTATCAGTTAAACTGTTGAAGCATGACAAGCATAAAAACCTCAACTCGATGTGTCATCATAATCCCGATTTCACAGGATTATTTTTTTCTGTTCTTGCAATTTTAAATATCATTCTTTCACTTCTGTAATTCCAATGAATCCATTTAACAAGATTTGCTTTTAACTTTTGAGCACCAAACCTTTAGGCTCCTTTTTTGACTTACCAGCAGTCAGCATGAGAATCATAGTAAGCAGGTCGGCCAGGCCCCATACTTATTTCGAGCCCATTTGATGACACTAAAAAATTGATGAAATTGCTGTATGGGTAAATTTGCTGAAACATAAAAACAAAGAGCATTTTAAATAACATATAGAACAAAAATATTTTGAAAGAACTAAAACTGTCCTCTTCAACCAATTTGGCATGTGAAGTCTAAACAATTAGGAAGTAGTATTTGATAAAAAAATCTGGCAGATTAGGCAAAAAACAAACAACACACTTGGTATGATGAAATGAATTTCACCAAATATATTACTTTTCAAAAAGAAAAATCAATATACATTGGGCCATTCTATGAAAGAGCCCTTATCAAACGAGCGTTTAATGAAGCAGAAAAAGAATGATACTCAACGTACTAATAACGAGCATTACATTTAGTACACAAGAGAAGTGGGAGAAAACACCCGGGATTTCAAGCCGATTCCAATGAGAAAAACGGAGCTCCAGTAATGCTCTTGGATCTCACAATCTTTCTCACAAGAATCCTCCATTTAATGTCATCCTTCTTCATCTGTTTCCTCCTCAACCTGAAGTTCTTGCAGAGAGGAACTCTACAGAGGTCTGGATCAACGCAGAGCCAGGAGTGAAGTTCAAAAACTTGCCACATTCTCTTGCAACGTACGCAACCACCCGGGATCCGTATTTTACACCCAGCGAAGTGGCGAATCAGTGCCTCTATCCCCTTGCACGCCCCGTGTCCACATGGATCTTCGTCTCCTTTCAACACCTTGTCGTGTGGACCTATGGTACGGCATCCCTCTTTACATATATGAACAAGTGCTTCCATAGCTTCATACAGATTAATATATGTGTTCCTATCGTTTGTCTTTCTAGCCCTTTCCTTTTGCAACTGAAATCAAGAGAATGAAACCACATATTAATCACCTATATAATTAAAAATACTTGGGATTAAGTTAGTATTATTGTTGGTGTTGTTATTGTTGTTATTATTATATTATTATATAGTGATAGGAGTAGCAGCAACAAGAGTGACAATATGAACTGTAATTAGTTTAAATAATTATAATAAATATACTACTACGTAGTAACAATAGCATTAGACCATTAGTATACCACGGAGTATAAAATTTATTATGTGGAATTCCAAATGAAGTATTTAGAAAAAACATCTACTCCATATGTTTTAATCCTAAATAGAGTAGTTTTTGAAAACATTGACAAGTGCATGAGCCATGACTATAATAAATAGAAAGAAAAAAAAATCATTTCAATACAAAGTGCCCATGGTAGTATTTCTGCAATGACAGTAGTCACCACACAAAATCTCAAACTTGTACCGAAATAGCTGTATATAATTGTACTTTCGCAGTGAACTTTCTAACCATGTAGTCATCTTTTTGTCCATTAATTCAATTTCAGTAATGTTAAGATAAAAACCCAAGTTTCTAAGCAATTACCAAAATACTACTCCTAGAGCTTCATGAATAAAAATGTGACTAATTTTTATTTAGCTACAAAGGTGATTTGAATAATTTATAACTAAAAGGTGGTGACACTTACATATGGAACAGTGTGAGGGTTTTTTATTATCACATACTGTCATTTTTGAAATATTTTAAAAAGTAGTGATATTTTTTGTACATACATTTTTAATAATATACATGTTAAAACCCAATTCCATGTGTGTGTATATTACATATGTGCGCACACGTGTGTGTGTATTTTAAAGGAAATCACAGTTAAGTGTTTATAATACTTACAATGTCATGATATATGACGGACTGCAAAATCTGTTTCTCAAGAGCGGGGTGACTTTCCTTCATTGCTTTCCATCCTTCGGTAGCGCAAACCGGTTTGACGTTCTTCAAGATGAACCGATGGGTGATGAAGCTAAGCCGAGGAGCGTCACAGAGTAGAGCCATCTGGAGAATATCCATAGCATTTTCGGTATTTATCAGTCCTTGTTCCACCACCCGCTCACATTCTCTCTTGAGCTGAAGGACCACATAAGTATGTGACAGCAATAACAAACTCAACACGTGCTCCTTCATTTTTTGTTCTTCATAACTGCAAACAAATTCAAATTGTCCAAGCAGCCATCAATGAAGGATCTAGTCGCTATTGATCATCATCATCAAGTAATGTTTACTTGAAAAAAAACTGTCCAGGTTCACATGGTATATGGATAACTTACCACGACGAATAAAGGTATCTGATAAAAACATGAACAGCCTCAGCTGGAACACCCGTGATCGAGATTGATATATGTTTATTCCGTCCTCGTCTAGTTGATTTTCTTAATATTTCTTTGATCACTGGTGAAGCCACACCCTATGGGCATTAATAAATAAGAATGATCAATATAATTCAATACCAATCTCAACTTTAAACCCTAATAGTCTGTTACGTAAGAGAGTTATTGGGTTGAAAGTTGGAACGACTAAATCTGCTAAAGCTGGGAAAAGTTTGGGTTAAGATCCAGTTCAACTAAATAACTAAATAAGTCAAAAGTTAGTGCCCATTTGAGATGACTAAAAAAGTCACTTTTTAAGCAAGTGTTTTTCTTGCACCAAATTGGTGCCCTTTTCTAACCAAAGTGTTTTTATCCAACACAATACAAGCTAAAAAAATCAACCATTTCAAATTCAGAAAATTCATTTCTAGTTAAAAGGAGCAGCATCATGTTTGCCTTTGAAGCTTTTGAAAAGTGCTTATGTCTGTGCCTTAGTGCCTAAACTGACTTAAACTTAGGGTGTATTTGAGTTTGCTTTTATTTAATTATTTATGAGCAGTTTTCAACCATCTTCATCTAGCCTTCAGCCTTGAGCATTTTAAAGCAAAGATTGATGAAAAAAGATGCACTATTATAGAATCTAGAATAAGCAAATTGAGTGAGATAAGATAAACCAAATAGATCCCTAATCTGTAGATTCTTTGTTAGAAGACTTGAAAAGGAACTTACCAAAACGCTAGCATGTGCATATATGACATGACCATCTCTCGTATTGATCTTTACATCAGCTCGATAAGCTTCATCGAAGAGGCGATCTGCAGATGAAACACAGTGGCGGTGTCCTCTCGCTGTCGAGCTACCTGTCGTTGAACTGCTTGGACGATACGGCGGAGTAGGTGGCGGAATAGGCAAGCAGTTTTCCAGGGTCATATTCCCGATCCGCGCCGCCCGCTCAGGTCTCTGCATTCAAAAAGAAGAAGAAAAAAGCACACAAATCAAGAAATGTTCATACACCTCAGTACCTAACGGATCTAGCTAACGTCAATGATTCGCAGGCCATGCAATATGATTTATCTATAAATGATTGAAAATTTAATACATCCCATACGAAACACAGGTTTGACATTACCTCACGAGCGTTTCTTGATCTTGTTCTGCTTCAATTCTACTGGCAGAGTATATAGAAATAAAAATGCATCCTTTTTCTGGTTCAATGAAAGAAGGGGAAACCCAATCTGGAGAAGAAGACGCCCAAATGTTACAAAAGTGTGAGAAGATGGCCGCAAAAAAGCGACCGTCTCTTGTAATTTTGCAACAATGGGATGATTGGATGGAAAGGGGAAGGGGGGACGGCTAGAGATGAATGCAGCGATTATGAATCCGAGATAAATAGCAGGCAGAAGAAAGAAGGTTCGTTGAAGCGAAACAGCTACCTACTCGTTTAGGTGAATGGGCATGAATGAATTAAATAGTGATCTTTTTGTTTGGGATAGAGATGTGATGTGGATCTATGTCACGTGCGGTTCACCCTCACCAAATTGTTTGAGATGCCAGCCGCCCAATCTCAAGGCTGACGTAAAACACGTGGCCTTTCGTCCGTCCGTCAATTATACTCTATCATTCCACAATCATTTGTGTGCACATTTTGTATATGGCGTTTTACATATCGGTACATACTTCCTGTCGTCCTCTTTACAACATTTCAAAAAACTTTTACACTTTCCCTTTTAATCAATTATTTCTCTACTCTTCATAAAACTCAATCACACAGTTCTTACTTTATTATTCTCCGTGTCAGTCAATTTTGGCAAAGTTTTAAGGGAATGAGGTAGTATTTAATTCTATATTAGATGAATTCAACAATATTTTTCAAAAATAATAATTTACACACATTAATAAATAAAATGTAATCAAATTAGAGTACATGAATAATGTATAAATTGCAATGTTGCAACTAATGTGATACGGAGGATAGTAATTTTTTTCTTTATATGAAGAAAATTATTGTTCACATCCGTAGATAATTTTTTTCTTTATATGGAGAAAATTATTTGTGCTTAATCAGTTTTTTCTAATCTATAAAATTTCTTTCAAAAACACTTTTTGTACACATGTTTTTTGTGTACACACTTTTACACATGTATGTATAAGCTTTTTTTGTCTGTACACACAAAACATATTTTGACAACCAACTAAATGTGTACACCAAATCCAATTGGGTTTCTTTAATGGGTGTAAGTGTGATCAAGTCATTTCAAAGAATGTTAATTTTAGAGAAAAATGTCAAATCGCTCCTCCAAATTTGTACGGAAAATCAATAAAGTTATTTTTACTTTTATTTTTATTAATTATGTGCTCCTACTATGTAAATTTAATCAGATTTGATTTTAACAAATAACCTATTAGTCAATAGGTTACTTGCATGATGTGGCACACACGATGGCCAACGACTGTTTTTTCTTTCATTTTTCCGTTCCTTTTCTTTTTCTTTTTCTTTTTTTCCTTTCCTCTTCCTCTTCCCCGCTCCACTTTTCTTCTTCCTTGCGCAAACCCGCACCGCATGTCACTATCCCGGAATTCATCCGTTATATCCTATATAATTAGGAAGAGGATGGCTAGGGGTGAGTAGTAAGGTCGAGCGATGGCAGCAACCTCCCTCTTGGAGGTCGGGCAACAATCTTTGTCTTGGAAGTCGAGGAGGTTGGGCGGCAATATGGCTAGTCACGGGGAGGGAAGGAGCCACCCTATAA